TTGTGGCTAGACACACACACAGCAATTCTCGCCACTAGAGGCCAAGAACCAAGCTTGTGGCTAGACACACACTCAGCAATTCTCGCCACTAGAGGGCAAGAACCAAGCTTGTGGCTAGACACACACACAGCAATTCTCGCCACTAGAGGCCAAGAACCAAGCTTGTGGCTAGACACACACTCAGCAATTCTCGCCACTAGAGGGCAAGAACCAAGCTTGTGGCTAGACACACACTCAGCAATTCTCGCCACTAGAGGCCAAGAACCAAGCTTGTGGCTAGACACACACACAGCAATTCTCGCCACTAGAGGCCAAGAACCAAGCTTGTGGCTAGACACACACTCAGCAATTCTCGCCACTAGAGGCCAAGAACCAAGCTTGTGGCTAGACACACACTCAGCAATTCTCGCCACTAGAGGCCAAGAACCAAGCTTGTGGCTAGACACACACTCAGCAATTCTCGCCACTAGAGGCCAAGAGATAAGCTTGTGGCTGGAGACTTGTCAAGAATATTTTGGATAATAGTCTTCTCTCTCAAAACCGCAATAAAAATGCATTTTAATATTTTTTTTTTCAGTTTCCTTTTCTTATTTACATTCTATTTAAAATTCTCTACCATCTTAAAATAATAAATGTTGATTTTTATTTAAAAAATGCAATTTGATAAAATTGGCAAAAAATAATAATTGGTAAATTGGCACTCACACAACCCAAAATTAACAGAAAAATACTGTCAGCGGTTTGAAACCGATCAGAAGAGGAATTCTCTAGTTAATGCATGAGGAAACACTTTTCTTAATAAAACTAACAAATTGACATATGTATATATTTTTTTATTAACACGAAGACAATTTTCAATTATTTCGCTATGGAAAACTCGAGGAAATTAAAACTGTAGGAGTATAAAATAAATTCCAACCACACAATAGAGCGAGAGACTAATATGAAGGACCTGGGAGTGATAATGTCAGAGAATCTCACTTTCAAAGATAAGAACAATGTATCTACTACACCTGCTAGAAAAATGATAGGATGGATAATGAGAACCTTCAAAACTAAAGATGCCAAGCCCATGATGATTCTCATCAAACTGCGTGTTCTCTCTAGGCTGGAATATTATTGTACACTAACGGCCCCTTTTAAGGCTGGCGAAATTGTAAATCTTGAGAATATACAGAGCAGTTTCACTGTTCGTATAAGTACGATAAAGCATCTAAATTACTGGAAATGGTTGAAGTCCCTTGTTCTGTACCTCCTGGAACGCAGGCGACAAAGATGCATGATAATATACAGTTGGAAAATCATAGAGGAACCGGTCCCAAGCCTGCACACGAAAATCACTCCCTACGAAAGCAAAAGACTGGGAGTGGAGATGCAACATCCCCCATTGAAAGGCAGGGCCCCTAACACAGTAAATGTTAGGGGCCAAAGACTGTTCAATTGCGCCCAGCATACATAAGGGGGATTACCAATAGTCCCCTGGCTGTCTTCAAGAGGGCATTGGACAGCCACCTAAAGTCAGTACCTGATCAGCCGGGTTGCCAGGATGGTTGCTGACTAGCATCCTACCAAAATGGTTGCTGACTGCCATCCTGCCAGGATGGTTGCTGACTACCATCCTACCAGGATAGTTACTGACTATCATCCTATTAGAATGGTTGCTGACTGCCATCCTACCAGGATGGTTGCTGACTACCATCCTACCAGGATGGTTGCTGACTACCATCCCACCAGGATGGTTGCTGACTACCATCCTACCAGGATGGTTGCTGGCTACCATCCTACCAGGATGGTTGCTGACTACCATCCTGTCAGGATGGTTGCTGGCTACCATCTTACCAGGATGGCTGCTGGCTACCAGCCTACCAGGATGGCTGCTGGCTACCATCATACCAGGATGGCTGCTAGCTACCAACTTACCAGGATGGTTGCTGACAACCAACCTACCAGGATGGTTGCTGGCTCCCAACCTACCAGGATGGTTGCTGATAACCAACCTACCAGGATGGTTGCTAGCTACCAGCCTACCAGGATGGTTGCTAGCTACCAACCTACCAGGATGGTTGCTGACAACCAACCTACCAGGATGTTTGCTGGCTACCAACTTACCAGGATGTTTGCTGGCTACCAACCTACCAGGATGGTTGATGGCTACTAACCTACCTGGATGGTTGCTGGCTACGAACCTACCAGGATGGTTGCTGGCTACCAACCTACCAGGATGGTTGCTGGCTACCAACCTACCAGGATGTTTTCTGGCTACCAACCTACCAGGATGGTTGCTGGCTACCAACCTACCAGGATGGTTCCTGGCTACCAACCTACCAGGATGGTTACTTGCTACCAACCTACCAGGATGGTTGCTGGCTACCAACTTACCAGGATGGTTGCTGACAACAACCTACCAGGATGGTTGCTGGCTACCAACCTACCAGGATGGTTGCTGGCTACCAACTTACCAGGATGGTTGCTGACAACAACCTACCAGGATGGTTGCTAGCTACTGTCCTACCAGGATGGTTGCTGGCTACCAACTTACCAGGATGATTCCTGGCTACCAACCTACCAGGATGGTTGCTGGCTACCAACCTACCAGGATGGTTGCTGGCTACGAACTTACCAGGATGGTTGCTGACAACAACCTACCAGGATGGCTGCTGGCTACCAACCTACCAGGATGGCTGCTGGCTACCAACCTACCAGGATGGCTGCTGGCTACCAACCTACCAGGATGGTTCCTGGCTACCAACCTACCAGGATGGTTGCTGGCTACGAACCTACCAGGATGGTTGCTGGCTACGAACTTACCAGGATGGTTGCCGACAACAACCTACCAGGATGGCTGCTGGCTACCAACCTACCAGGATGGCTGCTGGCTACCAACCTACCAGGATGGTTGCTGGCTACCAACCTACCAGGATGGTTGCTGGCTACCAACCTACCACGATGGTTGCTGGCTACGAACTTACCAGGATGGTTGCTGACAACAACCTACCAGGATGGCTGCTGGCTACCAACCTACCAGGATGGCTGCTGGCTACCAACCTACCAGGATGGTTGCTGGCTACCAACCTACCAGGATGGTTGCTGGCTACGATCTTACCAGGATGGTTGCTGACAACAACCTACCAGGATGGCTGCTGGCTACCAACCTACCAGGATGGTTGCTGGCTACAAACTTACCAGGATGGTTGCTGGCTACCAACCTACCAGGATGGCTGCTGGCTACCAACCTACCAGGATGGCTGGTGGCTACCAACCTACCAGGATGGCTGCTGGCTACCAACCTACCAGGATGGCTGCTGGCTACCAACCTACCAGGATGGTTGCTGGCTACCAACCTACCAGGATGGTTGCTGGCTACGATCTTACCAGGATGGTTGCTGACAACAACCTACCAGGATGGCTGCTGGCTACCAACCTACCAGGATGGTTGCTGGCTACAAACTTACCAGGATGGTTGCTGGCTACCAACCTACCAGGATGGCTGCTGGCTACCAACCTACCAGGATGGCTGGTGGCTACCAACCTACCAGGATGGCTGCTGGCTACCAACCTACCAGGATAGTTGCTGACAACAACCTACCAGGATGGCTGCTGGCTACCAACCTACCAGGATGGCTGCTGGCTACCAACCTACCAGGATGGCTGCTGGCTACCAACCTACCAGGATGGCTGGTGGCTACCAACCTACCAGGATGGCTGGTGGCTACCAACCTACCAGGATGGCTGCTGGCTACCAACCTACCAGGATGGCTGCTGGCTACCAACCTACCAGGATGGTTGCTGGCTACCAACCTACCAGGATGGTTGCTGGCTACGATCTTACCAGGATGGTTGCTGACAACAACCTACCAGGATGGCTGCTGGCTACCAACCTACCAGGATGGCTGCTGGCTACCAACCTACCAGGATGGTTGCTGGCTACGATCTTACCAGGATGGTTGCTGACAACAACCTACCAGGATGGCTGCTGGCTACCAACCTACCAGGATGGTTGCTGGCTACAAACTTACCAGGATGGTTGCTGGCTACCAACCTACCAGGATGGCTGCTGGCTACCAACCTACCAGGATGGCTGGTGGCTACCAACCTACCAGGATGGCTGCTGGCTACCAACCTACCAGGATGGCTGCTGGCTACCAACCTACCAGGATGGTTGCTGGCTACCAACCTACCAGGATGGTTGCTGGCTACGATCTTACCAGGATGGTTGCTGACAACAACCTACCAGGATGGCTGCTGGCTACCAACCTACCAGGATGGTTGCTGGCTACAAACTTACCAGGATGGTTGCTGGCTACCAACCTACCAGGATGGCTGCTGGCTACCAACCTACCAGGATGGCTGGTGGCTACCAACCTACCAGGATGGCTGCTGGCTACCAACCTACCAGGATAGTTGCTGACAACAACCTACCAGGATGGCTGCTGGCTACCAACCTACCAGGATGGCTGCTGGCTACCAACCTACCAGGATGGCTGCTGGCTACCAACCTACCAGGATGGCTGGTGGCTACCAACCTACCAGGATGGTTGCTGCCTACCAACCTACCAGGATGGCTGGTGGCTACCAACCTACCAGGATGGTTGCTGGCTACGAACTTACCAGGATGGTTGCTGCTACCTACCTACCAGGATGGCTGCTGGCTACCAACCTACCAGGATGGTTGCTGGCTACCAACCTACCAGGATGGCTGCTGGCTACCAACCTACCAGGATGGTTGCTGGCTACCAACCTACCAGGATGGCTGCTGGCTACCAACCTACCAGGATGGCTGCTGGCTACCAACCTACCAGGATGGTTGCTGGCTACCAACCTACCAGGATGGTTGCTGGCTACCAACCTACCACCTTGAAAAGACTTGAGCAGCTTTGATTTCTTAGATCAAGAGCCCTTCGTCAACATTAATGTACCCCCCTCCACCCCCCCTCCTTGAAGGGTTCAACCTGCGTAACTATCACCAAGAAAGAGGTCCAATAACAGTCTGATATGCTGAATATTTTTTTATTAAATGCTAGGACAGTAATATAGTTAGTTAGACTAGACATCTCTACAAGATGGACCAGTTAGGGTACATTGGTGGTGTGAGTAATAATGGTGTCTTATATATATGATGGGTAAGATGCAGCACTCACATGTATTTGTAGACTCACGACTTCAAAACTCATCTAGGTGGTAAACAAGACTGAGAACTACTTCTTGACTGGCGACTAAAAATATTCCTGTGCTCGGTAAATGATTAATATATTTATGCTATTATTCAACAGGTGATGAAAGTATTTGTATACAGTACTCTGAAAACAGATGACTGCTCACGTCATCAGAAATCATGTCTGAGATGTGAATGAGGTGGGATGTCATTACCATGGGCTGACATGCATTACTGCATGTCTCTTGCCCTAATGCAGTCCATCATACAGATGATTCCTAAATTAATGGAGTCATGCATCACTGGATTAAATAAAGGACGTATGACACTGAACTAGTCTAGCATTCCTAAGCTAAATTTGACAAGTTTTCACTACCACTGCAGCTAGTTACACCACGATCTGCCACATTACCTCACATACACCATCTTACTGATTAATATTTTTTTATAAATGTTATGAATCAGTTTTCTACTTTATTCATTATTATTATTATTATTGTTATTATTATTATTAATGTTGTCATTATTATTATTATTACATATTATCACTGCTGTAATCAGACACAAAATATTATTATCTTACCATATATTCTAGAGATCAGTGGACATAGCGCGCTGTAAACGGGAATATTTCTCGCTAAAGAATATTGATCAGCTTAATCTAGGTCACATTCTTCAACACAAGTGAAAACAAAGAAGATTTTCCTATATAAAATCTTAAACACAAGATTATTTGGATGCTCGGAAAAAATGCAGTAATTAGTTTTGCTTTAATTACTTTTCCTCACCGTATTTTGAAATACGTTACTTTCTATATATGTTTCCATAGAAACTAACAATGGTTATAAATGACCATAACTTTTAAAGGCGTGGACCGGTAAGCCAGCGGAAGGCCTCGGTCAGATGACCAAAAGCTCCAAAGGTGGGTCATCATCTGACTAAGACCCGCGTCAGGAAACATTTGTCCTGTTTCCTGACGAACCTTACCTAACCTAACCTAACCTAACCTTACTTTCTCTTTAAGGTTCCACTTTCTCTAGTGACTGCACTTTTCTGGTTAATTCCTTTACGGTTACACTTGTTGCATATTGCATGGCCTAAATTTGTTTAACTACTTATGTGTACCTGTACCTAAATAAACTTACTAACTTTGTATGTTCTGTGACTGAATTAAAGTAGCCATTTGTCTGTTCCTCCCTGCAGTCTGTACAAGTTTTCTTATGTAGCAAATGTTGAGTGACTCTGCAGCCGTACTTCACAGATATACTTGCTTAATGTTAGATGCTGAGAGGAAGCACAAACAAAGTCAATGTATAATATCACTACTTCACCTCATAATGTTATTCATAATGTTATTCAAAATAAATCACAACAGATGTCAAATTCCATATCTATACATAACTGTAGATACGTTAGGTTAGGTAATATTCCTCAGGAAATAGTGCTTCCTGACGCAGGTCACATGATGGCCCACCACCGGAACTTTTGGTCATCTGGCATACTCGTCCACCCCATTAAAAAATTAAGATTATAATTATAACAATTTTTACTGTAAGTATTGGCACTACAGACAGCTCTACATGACTGAGAAGAGATGCTTTCCTCTGGCCAGCACTAAGACACCTTCTCCACGCAGTTATGATGTGTGTTGCCCAAGTTACGAAGGAATGTCTAGTCATTACTTATCGTATCTAAAAATTTCTATTAAAGGCACATCGACAGATGCAGAGTAATGAGAAAATTAGAATGTGATTCACATAGGCTGTGCATATTCTGGGATTGCATCAGTTTGCATACAGTACTTCTTAAACACTATGCTAAAAGATCAAATTTTTTGCCAATTTTTATTAAAACTTATACTAATAACAACACTGTGTTGCTGGCATCATTCACATATAATAAAACTTCTAATATGCCAACTCAAGATGAACGAGGTTTACAAAAATAGGGGCACTGCACTTTTTGTGATTAAAATTCGTTGTTTGATTATAACATTAAGCTGAAAATAAACACAAGGATAAGTGCTAAAATATTTTGTGTTGACCTGACTGCCTTATGTCTTATGTATTAAGATTTTCTCCTATACATAACAACCTGCCGCATCTGTACTGATAAAATGTAATTTTATAGGTGAAAAGAAACGTATTTCATGTGTTTCCCTAATATTTTGAACCCGTGCTAAGAGGCACACACTAACAGTATCGTGGCTAGGAAAAGAAGACAAGCATTGCTGCCTTGATCTAGCAGACTATGTTGGTGAGCACCCTGGGGTCACATCAGTGGATGGGACCTTCCCCAACAAACCTGACTAATAGCTACTACCATCTTAGGCTTCACATACGTGTTGTCGTCTTCATCAACATCAACGACTGACTGTCCAGCCCTGGTGGTGCGCGACTCAGATCTTCAACGCTGGGGAGCAGAGCTCTCTCAGCTAGTTGTCAACAAACGTTTGTAATTACGGAGCTCTGCAGTGATGTTAGGTTAGTGATATGTTAGTGTTGTTGTGTTAATGTTGTTGTGTTAGTGATGTTGTGTAAGTGATGTTGTGTTAGTGATGTTGTGTTAGTGATGTTGTGTTAGTGTTGTTGTGTTAGTGTTGTTAGATCAGTGACAATGTTATAGTGCCTGGATCAGTGACAGTGTTTCAGTGCCTGGATCAGTGACAGTGTGTCAGTACCTGGATCAGTGACATTGTTTCAGTGCCTGGATCAGTGCCAGTGTTTTCTTGAGTGCACTATCGTGGTGTTACCTGTTCACTACAGGTCAAGTATACTTTAATCCCTAAAGCAGGGATTGCAATAAACTGTGCGAATATACACAGGGAGATATACACCTCCCTGCGTATAAATCCTGTGTAGAAATGTGTTACATACTCGAGGTTAATGTGTTACTAACTAACTAGCTTCAACAGTTGATGACTGACGAATCTTCCGAGTGTTACATGTTAATGATTGTGACCAGCTTTAGCTCTGTCTCACTAATGGTGTTCCGGTCGCAGTGTTGTTGTAATTTATCATTCAGACAGTTGTAATGGTGTGGTGTTGACAAGACTGCTGAGGATGTTGTAGCTGTTGGTGTGAAGTTTATCATATAAGTAAACACCGGCTGATAGACCCTTGTTTACATATTACTGTCTATCTGTAACCGATAATTGGGAGGCAAAAATTACTAGAACAGTGAAAATTATAAAGGCATAAAGCATTAACTACAAAAGAGACAGGTTACGTTTATGCTATACTGTCTAGCAGTATTACTAGCGTTATCCTCCCACTAGCACCACCTACCTGCACAACCACCTGTTTCAAATAATCAAATGTATCCATTAATTACTCTCAGATAATCTGTTATTCACATCCACCTTCCTTCAGTAACTACTCCTCCCCATCTGCTTCCTCAGGGAAACTTAGAACTTCATCTTGTGGATTGCATTGTTGAGTCGTGAGGCCTCGGAGCTGAGGTAACATCCCAAATCCTCAAGCTTCTTGACGGAGTCCAGAGTCTGCACCGTCTGGCTGTAGGGTTCATAGCGCACCTCGTAGGGTCGACTCATCGTCTGGAAGGTCCAGCGCCTGCAACAGTGACAGAAAGAGTTATGACCATTCCTGTGACATATGTTAGGTGTCAGCAGTGCATTTAATATTATTGTTTAACCACGTGGTTAGTCTCCCACCCAGGAAGACGGAACCAAAGAAATAAACACTTTCACCATGTGTATTCATAGTGTTTTCTTAATCAACATTCCTTCCCACAAACAAAAATTCAACCAGTGTGCGTCGTTCAGTGTTGATGTATATGCACGAAGATATCAAGTTATGCAGAATGACAGGTCCAAGAAGTGTAATAGTGGAATTTGGGTTGCAGCATGCAAATAATGGGAGTAGTGGTTGACTCTTAATTCGACAAGAACAAACGTGAATATTTATTTGTATAAATATTAAACCCATCCTGCTGAAATCTTTGAGCATGACAAACCTGTCTCAAAAAACTTATATTTTAATCTCATTACTTATCTCTACATAATATTCATGGCACACATTGACCTCAGATGTGACATTTCTACTGTCCCTCCCTTCTTGATGCAACATACAAACATCCTGTTTCACACCCACACAAAGCACTTTGCTCTGATACATTCTCTTTTTATTCCATATATTGGCAAACATACGTCGTTCTCCAGATCTCTGATCACTTCTGCAACAACTCTCTTTCCCTAATCTATAATGTGATTTATTTTTATATAATCATAAGTAATATATATATATATATATATATATATATATATATATATATATATATATATATATATATATATATATATATATATATATATGTGTGTGTGTGTGTGTGTGTGTGTGTGTGTGTGTGTGTGTGTGTGTGTGTGTGTGTGTGTGTGTGTGTGTGTGTGTGTGTATGTATAAGCATATATCGCAAACCAAGCGATACAGAATGCAAAACAACCACGGGGGGAGTAGAATGATAACTCTAGGCCTTTCGTGTTGCAATCAACACATCATCAGGAGCTTGCAAAATTGTAGAAAAGAGGAGTGTGTCCAGCAAATAACGTTCCGTCTTTACTGTAGTGAGAGAGGGAGAATGTAGAGGATACCGAAAGTGACCAGGCACCAACAGTAAGAGAGAGAGAGAGATGAATATTATAGTATTAGAAAAAAATATCACAAGCATTGATATTGTAATAACCTAAAATAAACGAAGTTAACTTAGCAATAATAAAAAATTCGGTCATATTCCGCTATGACATCTATAACTATAAATATATATAAATATATTGTCAGTGATATAGAAACCACTGGCACTTATATCCTCTCCGCCTGGGACAACGTGTCCCTTTAAATTACAAGAGAAGGAAAACGGTACCATATAAAGCGGAGACTCACGAAATCGTAATGACACAATTGCAAACAAACCATACCACGGGAGGGGTTTGAACCCGAGGTCAGAGAGTCTAAAAACTCCAGACCGTCGCGTTAGCCACTGGGCCAGCTACCCACAATAAGATTCATCCAACTAGGTATATTTATACACCATAGGAAGGTTAGCAAAGGCACCACTGTGACCACAAATGCAAATTTTTACAGACGAATCTCCAGCTAGCGTGGTCGTGACGAACTCTAGCTCAAGTCCCCTTAAAGCCGTCAACATGACTCACGAAATCATTATGTAAAGAAAATGGGGCTCATTAAAATGAACTGGTTAAAGGGGGGAGACATCTTTAATAACAGGAAAGCATGTTAGGTAAGACACATATGCAACAGTTAGGTATCTTTATTTCGAAACGTTTCACCTACACAGTAGGCTTCTTCAGTCGAGTACAGAAAAGTTGATAGAAGCAGAAGAGACTTGAAGACGATGTAATCAGTCCATCACCCTTAAAGTTTTAAGGTGGTCAGTCCCTCAGTCTTGAGAAGAGCATTGTTCCAAAGTTTGAAACAATATGGAGTGGAAGTGACAGGATGGAGCCTTATATAGCGCCAGGAGGTGAGACGTAGGTCACTAGTAGAACGCAGATGTTGGGAGGTCAGGTCTCTCTCAAATCCAGCCGTTTTCACTAGTAGAGGTTTTCGAAGTTGATTTCAGGTCTGTACCAAGATACCCTTGTGTTGCAGTGTCTGGCAGATTGAACATTAAAATGGTATAAAATACCGACAGGTTGTTAGGTAAGACACATATGCAACAGTTAGGTATCTTTATTTCGAAACGTTTCACCTACTGTTTCGCCTACTGTGTAGGTGAAACGTTTCGAAATAAAGATACCTAACTGTTGCATATGTGTCTTACCTAACAACCTGTCGGTATTTTATACCATTTTAATGTTCAACAGGAAAGCCGGCCAAAGATATTCATCCCACATAATTCTGAGGCAAACTCTGGTTCAACCTTCAGAAACTGCAGGAAAAAAAAAATGTAGGCCCTAATTCATCGGTGTGACTCTACATTTAAGACAGTCTGATGCATACGTATAAGAGCCCAATTTTAAACTGTGTACTCTTGCCTCAAGTAAAAATGCATCTAATTTGAACAGCCCATCACTGATATTATGTAATAACTGCCTATCATGATTAATAATTGCCGATTCTACAATATTCCTTTCAAGCCAGGAGGAACAACGGAAAATGACTTTTGCTTCACGTCAGTTTGCTGGGTTATTACAGGCTCTAATATGGTTGAAAATCGCGTTCGACTCCTGTGCTATACGTATCGGATAACAGTGCTGGGACATTCTCACCTCCAATGACTTTCCAGTTTGTCTCAAATAAGAGAGACTACAACCATTACAACCAACTCTGTAAACACCACCAACACGTTGTTGTGGTGCATTGTTTATCAGGATGCTTCTGACAGTCCTTGAGTTTTTAAATACTACTTGCTATAATATTCATCTCTCTGGCTATGGTAGTGTTGGTGCTGGTCACTTCCGGTACCCTCTCCTTTCTCCCTCTCTCACTCCAGTAACGACGGTCCTCTGGGAACGTTATTTGCTGGACACCCTCCTCTTGTCTGCAATTTTGCAAGCTCGTGACGATGTGTTGATTGCAACACGAAAGGCCTAGCACTATCATTCGACTCCCCCCGTGGTTGCTTTGTATCCTGTATCGCTTGGTTTGAGATACATGTATATCATCCTGCCTCTGTGGCATATGGCCGGTTTGTTGAAAAAAAAAATATATGAACTCAAATTATATATCATTCACGTCCCTCATAATCCTTCCAGTCCGACCCTCAGTCATTTATTTGTACAGATTAATGGTTACTTATACAGACAAATGGTTGCGGTACAGACTGCTGTTTATCTGTGCAGATTAAAGAGTGTCTATACAGATTAATGGTCTTCATATTAATAGTTTTTATAAGATTATTTTTACTAAAATTTCTTCTGGTGTTCGCACATCTGTAGCATCACACAGGTATGGCTAACATATGAGCCCAGAGAATTTATCAATTTTTTTTTATTTATACGTATACCTTAATCAAACAATATGAAAATTATCTGCAAAGTAAGAAAACCCTATATTTTTTCTTTATTTATACTGTTTTACTCAGTGTAATAATTTATCTAATACTATTTGCTTATTTCCTACTCTGATTCTCCGTCCAGTTCTACACCAACCAGTTGGGTGAGAACTTGGCTCCCGGCCGAACTGATGCTGCACTTCTGCACCTGGCAGACTACAGTGGCCAGACTACGGCTGGTCGAGTACACTCTTACAATACTGGTCTATCTTCAGATGTGAATCCAGCTGTAGTGACTTTGCTCTCTCGCTCGTTAACACTCGGCTGACTTATTGCATTGTGTACATGCTGTAAATATATTTGTGAAGGGTTTATAAAGGTGCTAAAATCTACACCTTTCGTGTTTGCCTTTGTCTTCATTTGTTTGAGAAATGTTACTTGTTAGATGTGATTTACATCCAGTTACAACATGCCTTTCATCACGTACCTGTGTTTGTTATAACTTGCTAAGCTTAAATTAGTGTCTTTCTTCAAATGTATCATTCATCATATGAACTTTTTCTTCCACTCACTTATCATTCTCTTTCATATCATCTCGCCATAAACTTTCCCACTGTAGATAAATAAGACACACGCTCAACGAGGATTTCTTTACTGCCGATTAATAAAGATTCTCATGTGCTACACATGTATCTTATTCATATACTTGTCGGTATTGCATACGATTAATAATGACACTCACTGTCCTCGTACATTCTATATTATCTTTCTCATGTCAAAGGCTAAGTAGAAAGCCTGAAAGCCTTTACATAAATCTTTTGTTTCAACTCTCTTCTGTCTCATCTTTTAAAAATATTCTTACTACTAATAGTCTGAAGGCTTCTCTCTCTTTAATGCCTTATAAAAATCGCTAAAGACTGAAATATATATTTTCTATAGTTTCTCTTGTTTATACAGATTTTATGCATATAATATCTCTCTTGGTTGGTAAGCACTACTGAGGATAAGACTGAAATAACTACGACCATGCCAGAAGCTGCTGGTGTTACAGACTCTGGAGGGAAAGCATGTGTCAGCCTCTGCTTCTCTCCCCTCTTTCTCTCTCACCTAAACTTCTCCTGTGCGTCCTCAATGCTGTCAGCAACGAAGTAGAGATCCTGGTAATCCTGATCCTGGTAGGGCTGGATGGCTGTGATGGCTGGGTCGAAGGTCTTCTTATGTGGCTCATCCGAGAGGGAATGTTGCAGCTCTCCGTAGCTGCTCAGTAGCCCAGCACCCCAGGCTCGAGTCTCTGCACCCTCACGACACAGCCCGAACTCCACTGTAAACCAGTACATCTAGAGGGGAAAGACTAGCGTTAGGTCTACAGATGTGGGAGGCTTAAATAAGGGATATGGGAGGCTTAAATAAGGGATGTGGAAGGTAGTCATGTGTTAGGAAAAAAATCGAGAAAGAGTCTGACATATTTGTATACATATATACTCCATTATGTGGTCAGATTCCATAAACCATTTATAAGAATAATGACTTTATTATTAATTTAGTTGCTTCGAGTCCCACCACAACATACTGTTTGTTATAAACGATGCCATAATGTATGCACTATACCATGGTGTATAAATTATACCCTGTGGGGGATACAGCAAGGTCTACGTAGGACAAACTGGAAGGAATCTTCAAACACCTGTTTAAAAATACAAATATATTAAAACCGAGACGACAGCAGCGTCTTGTGTCTTACCCAGGATGATGAAAGGTCATGTCATGCACTGGAACAATGAGGAAATAATCTACAGAGAATAAGACAGTAACAGGCGCCACTGTATAAAAACATCTTGACTGGTACTTCCAACATCATACAACAAAATGCTAGTATCTGTTCCATCAACAAATATAGTGCAAATGATGCTGCAACATGTTACCTCTCAGACACTATGTGATACGGCAATTACGTGGCCTCATGCCTACACCTGCCTCTCTCCTGTGACTTGCATTCTTCACTACATATATTGTATAAATCACTGGTATATTATACCGACAAGGTGATGAATTAAACACTTGTACAACATCTGGGTATCTTTACTCTGTAGACATTTCGCGAACCAGTGGCTTTTTCAATACTATAAAGAAAACTGAAGAGGTAGAAAATAAGGTAATCAATCCCTCAGCCTAGGAGCAGGTGTTCAGTACCGTATTACTGATGAATCTTATTCGTCAGTATTACGGTACTGAATACCTGCTCCTAGGCTGAGGGACTGATTACTTCAGACTTTTGATCTTCACCATTCTCTTTCTTTGTATTGGACTGATGAAGCCACTGTGACAAAACATTTCCACAATAAAGATTCCCAGATGTTGTACATATACTGCGTTCTCTCAGTCTCCTGCATCATTTACAGAGACCAAAGTCCCATGACCGAAACGTGTCCAGTCAAGATGTCCTAAGTGTCCTGTCATCCAGAGACAAACAAAAGAAACAAAGAAATAATAACTAGCAAACAGTCTGATTTTCGATAATCAAACTTCGGTATATCACGTGACACAGACTAGCCACACTCTGTACATTACGTGACACAGACTAGCCACACTCTGTACATTACGTGACACAGACTAGCCACACTCTGTACATTACGTGACACAGACTAGCCTCACTCTGTATATTACGTGACACAGACTCGCCTCACTCTGTACATTACGTGACACAGACTAACCACACTCTGTACATTACGTGACACAGACTAGCCACACTCTGTACATTACGTGACACAGACTAGCCTCACTCTGTACACTACGTGACACAGACTAGCCACACTCTGTACACTACGTGACACAGACTAGCCACACTCTGTACATTACGTGACACAGACTAGCCGCACTCTGTACATTACGTGACACAGACTCGCCTCACTCTGTACATTACGTGACACAGACTAGCCACACTCTGTACATTACGTGACACAGACTAGCCACACTCTGTATATTACGTGACACAGACTAGCCACACTCTGTACATTACGTGACACAGACTAGCCTCACTCTGTACATTACTTGACATAGACTAGCCTCACTCTGTACATTACGTGACACAGACTAGCCACACTCTGTACATTACGTGGCACAGACTAGCCACACTCTGTACATTACGTGACACCGACTAGCCTCACTCTGTGCATTACGTGACACAGACTAGAAACTCTCTGTACATTACTTGACACAGACTAGCAACACTCTGTACATTACGTGACACAGACTAGCCTCACTCTGTACATTACGTGACACAGACTAGCCACACTCTGTACATTACGTGACACAGACTAGCCACACTCTGTACATTACGTGACACAGACTAGCCACACTCTGTACATTACGTGACACAAACTAGCCACAATCTGTACATTACATGACACAGACTAGCATCACTCTGTACATTACGTGACACAGACTAGCCACACTCTGTACATTACGTGACACAGACTAGCCTCACTCTGTACATTACGTGACACAGACTAGCCTCACTCTGTACATTACGTGACACAGACTCGCCTCACTCTGTACATTACGTGACACAGACTAGCCTCACTCTGTACATTACGTGACACACACTAGAAACACTCTGTACATTACGTGACACAGACTAGCCTCACTCTGTACATTACGGGACACAGACTAGCCTCACTCTGTACATTACGTGACACAGACTAGCCACGCTCTGTACATTACGTGACACAGAGTAGCCTCACTCTGTACATACGTGACACAGACTAGCCTCAATCTGTACATTACGTGACATAGACTAGCCTCACTCTGTACATTACGTGACACAGACTAGCCTCACTCTGTACATTACGTGACACAGACTAGCCACACTCTGTACATTACATGACACAGACTAGCCTCACTCTGTACATTACGTGACACAGACTAGCCTCACTCTGTACATTACGTGACATAGACTAGCCTCACTCTGTACATTACGTGACACAGACTAGCCACACTCTGTACATTACGTGACACAGACTAGCCTCACTCTGTACATTATGTGACACAGACTAGCCTCACTCTGTACATTACGTGACACACACACGAAACACTCTGTACATTACGTGACACAGACTAACCTCACTCTGTACATTACGTGACACAGACTAGCCACACTCTGTACATTACGTGACACAGACTAGCCGCACTGTGTACATTACGTGACACAGACTAGCCTCACTCTGTACATTACGTGACACAGACTAGCCACACTCTGTACATTACGTGACACAGACTAGCCTCACTCTGTACATTACGTGACACAGACTAGCCACACTCTGTACATTACGTGAGACAGACTAGCCACACTCTGTACATTACGTGACATACTAACCACACTCTGTATATTACGTGACACAGACTAGCCATACTCTGTACATTACGTGACACAGACTAGCCTCACTCTGTATATTACGTGACACAGACTAGCCACACTCTGTATATTACGTGACACAGACTAGCCACACTCTGTACATTACGTGAGACAGACTAGCCACACTCTGTACATTACGTGACATACTAACCACACTCTGTATATTACGTGACACAGACTAGCCATACTCTGTACATTACGTGACACAGACTAGCCTCACTCTGTATATTACGTGACACAGACTAGCCACACTCTGTATATTACGTGACACAGACTAGCCTCACTCTGTATACTACGTGAAACAGACTAGCCTCACTCTGTACATTACGTGACACAGATTAGCCAAACTCTGTATATTACGTGACACAGACTAGCCATACTCTGTACATTACGTGACACAGACTCGCCTCACTCTGTACATTACGTGACACAGACTAGCCACACTCTGTACATTACGTGACACAGACTAGCCACACTCTGTACATTACGTGACATACTAGCCACACTCTGTACATTACGTGACACAGACTAGCCACACTCTGTACATTACGGGACACAGACTAGCCACACTCTGTACATTACGTGACACAGACTAGCCTCACTCTGTACATTACGTGACACAGACTAGCCTCACTCTGTATATTACGTGAAACAGACTAGCCTCACTCTGTACATTACGTGACACAGACTCGCCTCACTCTGTACATTACGTGACACAGACTAGCCTCACTCTGTATATTACGTGAAACAGACTAGCCTCACTCTGTACATTACGTGACACAGACTAGCCAAACTCTGTATATTACGTGACACAGACTAGCCATACTCTGTACATTACGTGACACAGACTCGCCTCACTCTGTACATTACGTGACACAGACTAGCCACACTCTGTACATTACGTGACACAGACTAGCCACACTCTGTACATTACGTGACATACTAGCCACACTCTGTACATTACGTGACACAGACTAGCCACACTCTGTACATTACGTGACACAGACTAGCCACACTCTGTACATTACGTGACACAGACTCGCCTCACTCTGTACATTATGTGACACAGACTAGCCTCACTCTGTACATTACGTGACACAGACTAGCCTCACTCTGTACATTACGTGACACAGACTAGCCAAACTCTGTATATTACGTGACACAGACTAGCCATACTCTGTACATTACGTGACACAGACTCGCCTCACTCTGTACATTACGTGACACAGACTAGCCACACTTTGTACATTACGTGACACAGACTAGCCACAATCTGTACATTACGTGACATACTAGCCACACTCTGTACATTACGTGACACAGACTAGCCACACTCTGTACATTACGTGACACAGACTAGCCACACTCTGTACATTACGTGACACAGACTCGCCTCACTCTGTACATTACGTGACACAGACTCGCCTCACTCTGTACATTATGTGACACAGACTAGCCTCACTCTGTACATTATGTGACACAGACTAGCCGCACTCTGTACATTACGTGACACAGACTCGCCTCACTCTGTACATTATGTGACACAGACTAGCCACACTCTGTACATTACGTGACACAGACTCGCCTCACTCTGTACATTATGTGACACAGACTAGCCGCACTCTGTACATTACGTGACACAGACTCGCCTCACTCTGTACATTATGTGACACAGACTAGCCGCACTCTGTACATTACGTGACACAGACTCGCCTCACTCTGTACATTATGTGACACAGACTAGCCGCACTCTGTACATTTACGTGACACAGACTCGCCTCACTCTGTACATTATGTGACACAGACTAGCCTCACTCTGTACATTATGTGACACAGACTAGCCGCACTCTGTACATTACGTGACACAGACTCGCCTCACTCTGTACATTATGTGACACAGACTAGCCTCACTCTGTACATTACGTGACACAGACTCGCCTCACTCTGTACATTACGTGACACAGACTCGCCTCACTCTGTACATTACGTGACACAGACTCGCCTCACTCTGTACAAAACGTGACACAGACTCGCCTCACTCTGTACATTACGTGACACAGACTCGCCTCACTCTGTACATTACGTGACACAGACTCGCCTCACTCTGTACATTATGTGACACAGACTAGCCTCACTCTGTACATTATGTGACACAGACTCGCCTCACTCTGTACATTATGTGACACAGACTAGCCACACTCTGTACATTACGTGACACAGACTCGCCTCACTCTGTACATTACGTGACACAGACTCGCCTCACTCTGTACATTACGTGACACAGACTCGCCTCACTCTGTACATTACGTGACACAGACTCGCCTCACTCTGTACATTACGTGACACAGACTAGCCTCACTCTGTACATTACGTGACACAGACTCGCCTCACTCTGTACATTATGTGACACAGACTAGCCTCACTCTGTACATTATGTGACACAGACTCGCCTCACTCTGTACATTACGTGACACAGACTCGCCTCACTCTGTACATTATGTGCCCACAGACTAGCCTCACTCTGTACATTATGTGACACAGACTCGCCTAAACTCTGTACATTACTTTGACACAGACTCGCCTCACTCTGTACATTATGTGACACAGACTAGCCTCACTCTGTACATTATGTGACACAGACTCGCCTCACTCTGTACATTACGTGACACAGACTCGCCTCACTCTGTACATTATGTGACACAGACTAGCCTCACTCTGTACATTATGTGACACAGACTCGCCTCACTCTGTACATTATGTGACACAGACTCGCCTCACTCTGTACATTATGTGACACAGACTAGCCTCACTCTGTACATTATGTGACACAGACTCGCCTCACTCTGTACATTATGTGACACAGACTAGCCTCACTCTGTACATTACGTGACACAGACTAGCCTCACTCCAAGATCTATTCACTCAGGCCGCATAAATGGAAAAAATCTATCCAGGTATACAGTGACCCTCAAAGCACATGTATGTATGTGTGTATGCATGCATGCATATATGTATGTATGTATGTATGTATGTATGTATGTATGTATGTATGTATGTATGTATGTATGTATGTATGTATGTATGTATGTATGTATGTATGCATGTATGTATGTATGTATGTATGTATGTATTTATGTATGTATGCAATAAGATCACAGTAAACAGGTGATATCACAAGCAAAACAACCGCTGCGGAAAAAATAGTGAAATTTTAAGCACTTTCATGATTTCTTACATTATCAAAGAACTGTAGTATGTATGTGTGTGCAAAAATACATACAAATATTTTTTTAGAGAGAGGCAATTCACAACTCTGAGTAGGCCTCACCGTGGCAAACTTCTCGATCTCCTGGTCTGTGGCTCCTAGGGAGGCGAGACCCAGCTCCTGGGAGAACTGGGCGAAGGCTGGCTCAGCTAAGAGAGGCGCGTGTCCCAGCAACTCGTGGATGGCGTCCCTGTGTGTAGTCGAATAGTTAGCTACAGCCTTCCCTCTCTCACTGCTGGTGGAGAAGATTGTGTGTGTGTGTGTGTGTGTGTGTGTGTGTGTGTGTGTGTGTGTGTGTGTGTGTGTGTATACTCACCTAATTATACTCACCTAATTGTGATTGCAAGGGTCGAGACTCAGTTCCTGGCCCCGCCTCTTCACTGATCGCTGTTAGGTTCTCTCTCTCTCTCTCTCTCTCTCTCTCTCTCTGCTCTTTGAGTTTTGTCATACCTCGCCTTAAAGCTATGCATGATTCCTGCCTCCACTACATCACTTGCTAGGCTATTCCCCTTCCTGACAACTCTACGACTGAAGAAGCACTTCGTAACATCCCTGTGACTCGTCTGAGTCTTCAGCTTCCAGTTGTGGCCCCTTGTTTCTGTGTCTCCTCTCTGGAACATCCTGTCTCTGTCCACCTTATCTATTCCACGCAGTATTTTGTATGTCGTTACCCCGTCTTCCCTGACCTTCCTGTCCTCCAGTGTCGTCAGTCCGATTTCCCTCAACCTTTCTTCTTAGGACATTCCCCTGAGCTCCGGAACTAGCCTTGTTGCAAACCTTTGTACCTTCTCTAATTTCTTGACGTGCTTGACCAGGTGTGGGTTCCAAAATGGTGCTGTATACTCCAGTATGGGCCTGACGTACACAATGTGCAGTGTCTTGAACGATTCCTTACTAAAGTATCGGAACGCTATTCTCAGGTTTGCCAGGCGCCCATATGCTGCAGCAATTATTTGGTTGATGTGTGCTTCTGGAGACGTGCTCAGTGTTATGCTCACCCCAAGATCTTTCTCCTTGAGTGAGGTTTGCAGTCTTTGGCCACCTAGCCTATACGCTCTCTGCGGTCTTCTTTGCCCTTCCCCAATCTTCATGACTTTGCATTTGGCGGGGTTGAATTCGAGAAGCCAGTTGCAGGACCACGTGTTCAGCCTGTCCATGTCTCTTTGTAATTCTGCCTGATCCTTATCTGATTTAATTCTCCTCATTAACTTCACATCATCTGCAAACAGGGACACTTCTGAGTCTATCCCTTCCATTATGTCATTCACATATACCAAGGATAGCACTGGTCCTAGGACTGACACCCTGTGCGACCCCACTCGTCACAGGCGCCCACTGTGATACCTCATCACGTACCATGACTCGTTGTTGTCTCCCTGTCAGGTATTCTCTGATCCATTGCAGTGCCCTTCCTGTTATATGCGCCTGATCCTCCAGCTTCTGCACTAATCTCATGTGAGGAACTGTGTCAAAGACCTTCCTGCAGTCCAGAAAAATGCAATCAACCCACCCGTCTCTCTCGTGTCTTACTTCTGTTACTTTATCATAAAACTCCAGAAGGTTTGTGACACAGGATTTGCCTTCCATGAATCCGTGCTGGTTGTTGTTTATAATCTTGTTCCGTTTCATTTGCTCCACCACTCTCCTCCTGATAATCTTCTCCATGACTTTGCATACTATACACGTCAGTGACACTGGTCTGTAGTTTAGTGCCTCATGTCTGTCTCATTTCTTAAAAATGGGGACTGCATTTGCCGAGTGTGTGTGTGTGCGTGTGTGTGTGTGTGTGTGTGTGTGTGTGTGTGTGTGTGTGTGTGTGTGTGTGTGTGTGTGTGTGTGTGTGTGTGTGTGTGTGTGTGTGTGTGTGTGTGTGTGTGTGTGTGTGTGTGTGTGTGTGTATGTGTGTGTGTGTATGTATGTTAACCAATAAATAATCATGCTGAGTCACTGATCGGTGTTTAAATGGGTAGCTCATCAGTTAAGAATTGTAAGAATTTTGTGACCAAGAATGATAGTGGTCAGAATTCATAAAGTAACAAAAGCAGAGGAAAGTAATCAGAGTAGAGAGAATTGCTCAAGGGAAGTACTCAGGGCAAAAAGCTAAAGAAAATACAGGTGATTGTGTAAGCCGCAAGGCAAACATCTGGACACAGGACAAAACTCAGATCAACACTGAAGGTGAAAGTACTCTCAGGAATTGTTGCTAAAGGTTTGTGCTAGTTTCTTTCTCGCCGTTAGTAGATGAAGGATCGAGCCTTCACCAGTGCTTGTACTGAAAGACTTATAAGGGTTAAACACTTTACAGTTATGTTGCAACCGCCGTAATGGCAGGCCTGCCGCTGCCATTGTTTTGTAATCCAACTTTAATTTATAAAACAGCATGTGTAGAATTGCAGGAAACGTTAAGAAACTGACACTTGAAACCTTGTAAAGAGGCTCTGTCACACTCACGGTTCAGGAGAGTGGTGAGGGGAGGAGTGATGACGGATGTACTGGGTGCACTGGAACACCCTGAAGGCCAGAGACGCCAGGAAGTCCCTGGAGGTCAGCAGTCCTGCGGCCGGCCGCAGGGAGAACCCCGTGCGCCCTACGGCGAGAAGGACAGAGTAGTGACATCTACGCAGACAGGCAGGTGTCAACCACTTGACAGAGCGACACATCAACTGATCATATATGCTAAAAAATTCTAGGTTCATCGCCCCCTCCCTCACAGCTCTGTCTGAACACCGAGGGTAAGAACACTTTTTGTAGGATTTACCTCACATCTTACATAGGACTTGGTCCCTACCAGAGGAACAGATCAGGTAACATAATGAATGGCATTTTGACAGTAAACAAAAAAGATTAAAGGAAACCACTGTAGTGTAGGCTGGTGGTTACAATAACGGCTCCTGAAAAACTTGCCTGAGGATGAAGTTAGTTAACATAGCTGGGAATTAGGTTACATATTCATACATTTGTATTACGTAAGGTATAGCTGATACCAGATTAGGCTACCTAAGAGAACAATTGACAAAGGAGACCATGAACTATACACATATATCCCGCACTTAAAAGACTGAAAAGACTGAAAAGAATTATGAGGCACAATACAAATCGGACCGAAACGCCGTCATAAGTTTCAGGCTCCTATGTGCTGGTTATTGTGTTCTTAAGACTTGCACCATTAACTAGTCCATGAAATGCTGATTTATATTTTAAAATGAATGAATGATAAACGTTTTAGTCAGGCCAAAATTTCTTACTATGACAGTATCTCCTAAAAGAAGAATTTCGAAGCAGTATAATGCTAACCAGCAGAAGAAGCAACTAAAGAGTCGTCCCTGAAGGGGAACCTCTTCATATTTCAAGTATAATCTACCTTGTCCATAATTACTATTGCATTTTCTTTGTCTGTTCCGTAAGGTATAACTTAACAACAAAACACGGGAGAAGTTAGGTGCCTTTTAACGACTCAGATAAAGGTCAGGATGAGTGTAAACACGGAAGGAAATATTAAAGAAAAAAGTCTGCAACTCACGTTTCATGAACTTAGAAACATCTTCAAGCTGGGGAATATAGTCGGCAGAGTAGCCACACTCCTTCTTCAGTATCTGCCACACTTCACGGTACTGACGACAGGCGTGGGTGGGGATAAGTCTCTCCAGTTCTCTGAACACCTCTCCCCATGTGGCTATTTCCTCAGCTCGGTACTCTACCCTGGGGATCATCTCCCCACTGGTGGTGAGCATCGTAGTACAAGTTAGCTTCTCACTTCTCTGCTACTTTGAATTTTTTTTCATCTCCCTATTTCTCCTATTCTCTTTATTCATTTCACAATTTTCATGCAATCGTTGCTCTCTTACTTTTTACATACTGTATTCGCTCTGTTAATTATCTACAAACATTATCTTTCAGTCCACAGAAGGATTCGAACCTGCACAATCTGCATCATAGTACACAGCACTATGGATAAAGTACTGTGTACTATGATGCAGAGGATGCAGATTTGAATTCTAATATATATATATATATATATATATATATATATATATATATATATATATATATATATATATATATATATATATATATATATATATATATATATATATATATATATATATATATATATATATATATATATATATATATATATATATATATATATATATATATATATATATATATATATATATATATATATATATATATATATATATACAGAGAGAGAGAGAGAGAGAGAGAGAGAGAGAGAGAGAGAGAGAGAGAGAGAGAGAATACTTTCATCATCATTCAACACTTTCACCTTATACATAATCACTGTTTTGCAGAGGTGCTCAGATACAAGAGTTTAGAAGCATATATAAAGATATATAACATCCCTCCAAACTGCCAATATCCCAAACCTCTCCTTTAAAGTGCAGGCATTGTACTTCCCATTTTCAGTACTCAAGTCCGACTATATAAAAATAACCGGTTTCCCTGAATCCCTTCACTTAATATTACCTTGCTCACACTTCAACAGCTCGTCAGGTCCCAAATACCATTTGTCTATATTTACTCCTATCTAACACGCTCATGCGCGCTTGCTGGAAGTCCAAGCCCCTCGCCCAAAAACCTCCTTTACCCCCTCCCTCCAACCTTTTTGAGGACGACCCCTACCCCGCATTCCTTCCCTACAGATTTATACGCTCTCCATGTCATTCTACTTTGATCCATTCTTTCTAAATGACCAAACCACCTTCTCCTAATTTCCACACTCCGAATTCTCTGCATAATATTTACACCACACATTGCCCTTAGACAGGACATCTCCACTGCCTCCAGCCGCCTCCTCGCTGAAGCATTTATAACCCAAGCTTCACACCCATATAAAAGTGTTGGTAACACTATACTTTCATACATTCCCTTCTTTACCTCCATAAATAATGTTTTTTGTCTCCACATATACCTCAACGCACCACTCACCTTTTTTTCCTTCATCAATTCTATGGTTAACCTCATCCTTCGTAAACCCATCTGCTGACACGTCAACTCCCAAATATCTGAAAACATTCACTTCTTCCATACTCCCTCTCTCCAATGTGATACCCAATTTTTCTTTATCTAAATCGTTTGATACCCTCATCACCTTACTCTTTTCTATATTTACTTTCAACTTTCTACCTTTAAACACCATCCCAAACTCGTCCACTAACCTTAGCACCTTTTCTTTAGA